TCCCAGTTATCTGCATCACTTCAAAGATCTTCTTGACCTCATCAATGAAGTTTTGGGGATCTTCTCCACATGCGATCCTCAGAACTCTAGCGGATTAATCCTAACAAAGTCTCGCACCCTGGCTGCAACTGACCCAACATTGGCATTTACCGAAACTGGAGCCCGCTGATTGTTCTGGTTGGCCACACTCTGAGCCAATATCTAAATAGCATTCCTGAATTCTGCATTCGACACTTTTTGATCAGGGACTGGAGGAGTTGCCTTTGCGTTCCTGGCATTCGCATTACTGGCATTAGCCAATGAGGAGGCATGATCACTGAAACGTAGAACGTCGAGTTAGAATGAAATTTAGATCATACCTTACGCACAATAAGAGTAACAAGAAAATGAAGATTTTCTAAAACACTTTGTAACCTCTCCCTCATTAGATGTGGTGCACTTCACACCCATGAAAAGGACTCTACGTAGTGCGTCTTTCAGACATCCTAGGACACTTAAACCTAGTACTTTGATACCAAGTTTGTCACGCCCCGAGACTACCCCCGAGACGCGGGCATGGGACCTAGGACCACAAACTATCCCAAGCTAACCCTGCTAGCATGATCATGAGCATACTAAATATAAACTGAATAATAAAAATGGTGCGAAAGCTATAATCATAAATAAATAGGAAATGATGGGGAATACCCATCTACTATAACTGAGATATATGAAAACTAATGAGTTTAATACAAGGAAGATATTAACTTAACACTAAGCTGAATCTGTCTATGTCTGAAAATAGCTTCTAACTGACTAGAAATACTAGGAAATGCCCCAGCTAAGTCTAGCAAAATTGAAACTAAAGGACTAAAACTACTGAAAAGAAACTCATGACTATTGTCCTCGGAGAATGAGGACTCACCACTGATTCTGCTGAACTGGAGATCGGGAACCGATCTAAGCGTGATCTGGATGTTGAGAACCTAAACTTACATCACGAGAAGATGTAGCGCACCTATGCGTTAATACTTGAAAGGTACTGAGCATGCAAGTTAGAATACAACTGAAATAACATATAACTGAACAAAGCAAATAAGCAATGACATAATATGAACATGAAATAGATACTGAATGCTGAGATAACTGAATGCAGTGACCAATTTATAACTTGCTGAAACTTAATACTGGATGTACTGATAAATGGTCAATGCAATAGGATCTAACTGAACTGTGGGAGCTACTAATAACTGATAATAAAACCATACGAGCTAAATGTGGAGTCCGATGTATACGCCCCATCGAGAGGAACTAATATACCCTGCCAGAGGTATAGAGGCATACTGGCGTGATCACTGAAATGATGCCCACAGAGGGGACTTACAACCTACATGGCTAGTAGTTCTTTGACTATTTGAGTACGTTGAACCCTAGTCCAACTCGGTATTATGCTACTCCCAATGGATTAAGTAATTAACACATTATGACTAAATTTCTGTAAGTTACTGGATAGCTCGAACTGAACATGCAAACTGAGTATGCAACAATTAAACTGATATTGATGCATTAATAACTGAGGCATGTATAGCTGAATAACTGTAATATCTGACCTAGCATGTAAATTCAAGTACTAAAGAATTAGATAGCTAGGGTTCTGAAATTCATGCAATAAACTGAATATTAACATACTAATATGATTTGGATCATTCTAATAGCTAAGAATCCAATAATTCTAACATTTAAGAAACCGTAAGTCTAGTCATAATAAGAGAATCAAGAAACTGACTGAAAACTAGGGACCTAATGGGTGAAAGGAACCCACTAGTGAAATCCCACATACCTGGTGATGAATTTCATGGAGAAATCTTGAGATTTCGGGGCTGGAATTGATGGAACCTTGTTGCGTTCTTCAACTAGGGTTCTTGACTTCTCTTCTCCTCTTACGCTCTAATTTCTCTAAGTTTTGATTAATGATTTGACTTAGGTAAGTTCTAGTTATGTTTCTAGGCTTAAACGGACTAAAACCTCATAATTTAGGGTCTAAACGACGTAGCTTAGGGGTCCAATGAAATAGGAAAATATCAAAAGACTTATGACTTAACTGCTGTCGGAGTGACCATCGGACGGGACTGATGGGTCGTGCATCGAACGATGGTCCGTGTTGGTCGACCGTAGTTTATGTCAGAGGCTGGGTAAAGGAGTCTTGCTCCACGGACAGAGACCACGGACCGTGGTCTGACCTACATTCCATGGGTCTGTCCGTGGGTTGACTTAGCCGATTTTTTGAGCTGGGTTGGGGGAGGGGTTGCAGTGGTGAACCACGGAAGACCGGCACGGGCTGTGGTCTTACCTACGGTCCATGGATGGCAACCGTGGGTTGCACTTGTAACTTCTCAAAATTTGCATTTTGGTCTATCTAGGATACGGGGTGTTACAACACATACTTGGACTACTTTGTATATAAGACCTTGAAGGTTGGTAAAATACCTGATTTACTTCTCAAAGCCTCTTGCATTGCTTCAAGATCATCATGAGGAAATGAAGTATCATCTTCTATTGGATTAAAATCAAGTTGCCTAAGGATCTTATTATGTGCTCGTACATTCATAACAGAAGATACAACACTATACCCTTTACTTTTTCCAATCGAAGTTCTTTGTACGATAGTACTTCCTCTGGCAGAACCCACCGATGTAATGTTCTTTCATTTTCCTTGCCTATAATAAGAACATTACAAAATATCAAACTCAAATCAATAAAATAAATCTACATGTTTAGAAAATAACATAAAATACCTTGTTTGCTTCTCATGTTGTCTTGCCTTACTTCATGATCATCATGAGGAAATGAAGTTTCAACTTCGATTGCATCAAAATCAGGACAGACGACATTAGTATTTTGTGGAATGGCATTCTAATCATATATTGCAGAATTTAGACCTTTGTTGTTTCCAATCGTTATTCTCTTTCCAATGCCTCCTCTTACAGAGCTCAGAGATGTAAATCTGTTTCCTCATCCCATTACTTCAAGATCATCACGAGGAAAGAAAGTATCAACCTCTATTGGATCAAAACCAGGTTGCATAAGGTTCTTATTGTATGCTACTTCATTTTGATCAAAAGATGGAACACAATAATTTTTACTTTTTCCAATAGAAGTTCTCTGTACAACATTACTTCCTTTAACAGAGAACACATATGTAATGTTCTACCCATTCTCCTTTGCTACAATTCAAACATTATACAACTTAATCGTCTAACAATTATAAATTTTTCATACTAAGAAAATGAAATAGGATTAGAAACCTGGTTTGCTTTTCACAGCCTCTTGCATTACTTCAAGATCGTCACTAGGAAAGGAAGTTTCATCTGCCAATGCATCAAAACCAAGAGGGACGACATTAGTCTTCTACGCAATGACATTTTGATTATATGTTGCCGCATTTAAACCTTTGTTGTTTCCAACCATTGTTCTCTTTTAGACGCTTCCTCTTACAATACTTTCTTTAACAGACCACACAGATGTAATGTTCTTCCGATTCTCCTTTGCTACAATTCAAACATTATACAACCTTAATCGTCTAACAATTATAAATTTTTCATACTAAGAAAATGAAATAGGATTAGAAACCTGGTTTGCTTTTCACAGTCTCTTGCATTACTTCAAGATCGTCATTAGGAAAGGAAGTTTCATCTTCCAGTGCATCAAAACAAGGAGGGACAACATTAGTCTTCTGCGTAATGTCATTTTGATTATATGTTGCAGCATTTAAACCTTTGTTGTTTTCAATCATTGTTCTCTTTTCGACGCTTCCTCTTACAATACTTCCTTTAATAGAGCACACATATGTCATGTTCTGCCCATTCTCCTTTGCTACAATGAAAACATTATACAACCTTAATGGTCTAACAATAATAAATTTTTCATACTAAGAGAATGAAATAGGATTAGAAACCTGGTTTGCTTCTCACAGTCTCTTGCATTACTTCAAGATTGTCACTAGGAAATGAAGTTTCATCTTCTAGTGCATCGAAACCAGGAGGGACAACATTAGTCTTCTGCGCAAAGATATTTTGATTATATGTTGCAGAACTTAAACCTTTGTTGTTTCCAATCATTGTTCTCATTTCGACGCTTCCTCTTACAATACTTCCTTTAACAGAGCCTCCATATGTAAAGTTATTTCCGATATCCTTTTCTGCAATTCAAACAGGTTAATTAGTACAATCAATAACCTGATTTCTTCTCTGAGGGTTCTCCATACAAGATTTCCTAAAATTAATCTACTTAAACAAACATCCATTTAGACCTATTTAAAATTACTATGGAAGTACACTTTCCTAAAGTTAGAGTTGGAATCAACTTAAACAAAACATCCTTCAGAACTATTCTAGATCAGAGAGCAGGGACAAAATGGAAATCCACATTACTATTTGGAAATGACAGTATATGTTAATGTAAGAAAACTCAATGTACAAACATCTGTAGCTTGAGAAAATAAGACATAATCGCCTAACAATATATATCTATAGCTTGAGAAAATAAAATACAATACCTGATTTGCTTCTTAGAGTCTCTAGCGTTATGTCCATTTGATCAATCAAATTTCTCTTTTCAGCAGTTACTCTTACAGAGCCCATCGATTTGAGGCTTTGCCCTCTTCCCCTAACTAAAGCACTAGGTGGAAGGAATGATTGCTTTAAATTCTTTGAACTGATCTCATTTCAGACTTATTAAATATTGAAGGATTTATCTCATCCTACCATAAAATCCAACAGTAGAGGACCTTTAGCTAAGTATCTTTTAAGATGCATATTAACATAGAACAAATATAAAAATAATAGGGTAAACAAACAAAAGCCAAATGCTACTACACATTGTCTCTGTTCATTATGTACAAAATTAATAAAAAGACATTATTGTTTGATCAACCTTTATTCACCCTAAGTACTTCAACTGATCAAAGTTACATAAACAACATTCAAAATATAAACATGTAATTGAAAAACTATAAGCATCAATTATTCCAAACTTGTATGAGTTCTTTTTCTTTTCCTATCAATTGAATCATGTAAATCCTTAAACTCATGATCATTCTCTTGCACATCATCAAAAGAATCACAAGGCAGAAACTTTCGCACCACATTCCAGGCTTTATTAGAATGATCTCTAGCATAAAATACTTGTGATACTTGATTGGCTAATACAAAAGTCTCATCGGTTTTCAAAAACCGTTGGGGGTTAACACTTACAAAGTCATATTCATCCATTTTAACTCGCCTTTCATTGTCATATACATCAAACCACATACATATAAACAAAACCAGCCGTCTACCCCCAACAAATTGTAATTCAAGAATCTCTGTTAGTTCCCCATAGTAATCAATGATTCTATCATCTTCACCAGTCTCACTAGCAACAACTATCCCACAATTTTGAGTCCTCAAACCATTATCATAATCTTGTACATGGAATCTATATCATTAATAATGTAGACTTTGAATTTTGTAACGTTTTTCATCGGACCACGTGATAATGTGAGTAAATCTGCCATTTTCTTACTATCGTCATGTTTGTATAATCCTTCAATCATCATGATTAATAACATAGTTTAGAAAATATTATCTATATGATTTGAAAATAATAGTTTTTAAATAGTACTCACCTTTTCTTTAAACCAACTGATGAATTGCCTATCCAATTTTTTTTAGAGGAATCACCTGGAATTTGAGAAAACTCTCTATAGAAGAGGAAACATAAGAAGAAATAAGGATTTAATAATAATTTTGAAGAAGTGATAAGATGATTATTTGGAAAAGTCATTACTTACTCAAGAAATGGTTGAACTTCATCACAATTCTTCAAAATATAAATATGGGCTTGCTCCATTTCTTTTAAATCAAGTAGGTGTGGCTTGCCACCTTTTAAAGCTTTTCCAGGTTGACAGAAGATCATTAAACCTCCATTGGATTCTACAGCAACCCCATCATCGTTTCGTTCAAGGAGATTGAATTTTGTTTCCATTGTATGCAAATACCTTGAACAGAAGGTTGTAAATTCATTAGCTATATATCCCTCTGCAATAGACCCTTCGACGCAAGATCTATTACGAATAAAAAGCTACAAAAATTATAACCATCGTTCCACTTGATACATTGATCGGTATTGAACAGGTCCACCAATCATAACCTCATTAGCTAAATGAACTGGCAAGCGCTCCATGACATTAAAAAATGAAGGAAGGAAAACCTTTTCTAACTTGCATATAGTTTCAGGAATTTGTGCATTTATTTGTTCCAACTCCTCAAGTTTTAAGCACTTTGCTCCAAGCAGATTAAAAAATGATGACAACTCAATTAGCGGCTCACACACTTCATTGCATAGCATACTACGTATGGCAAGTGGGATTAAATGTTGAAGAAGAACATGACAATCATGACATTTTAATCCTGAGATTTTGTGATCTTTCATATTGATGCAGTGAGAAATATTTGATGAAAATCCATCTGGAACCTTTAAATCCCTCAAAAAACTTAAACACGTATGCTTCTCTTCAGGAGATAATGTGAAACATGTTGTCGGTAACTCATATTTTTCTCCATTTGCTTTTGGATGTAATTCTTTCCTGATATTCAATTATTGCAAATCCAAGCGACTGCTCAAGGTGTCTTTTGTTTTGCCTTTTATATTCAAGATTGTTCCCAAAATATTATCACATATATTCTTCTCAATGTGCATCACATCTAAATTATGCCGCAACAACAGAGTTTTCCAATATGGAAGGTCAAAAACTATACTCTTCTTATTCCAATTATCAACTCTACTATCATGTGATACTTTAACCTTCTTCTTTTGATCATTAGTTAGAGGTAACCCATCTAAATCAGCCACTTGATCAAGTATGTCATCACCAGATAATGTATTTGGAGGTAATCTCCTCTCTACAGTACCATCAAATGATTTCTTATCGTTCATCCATTTGTGATTAAGAGGAAGAAAGCGTCTATGACCCATATAACACTATTTTTTTTTACCATTTTTCAATCTTATTGAGGAAGTTTCTCTATTACAACATGGGAAAGCCAATTTTCCTTTTGTACTCCAACCTGATAAATTTCCATAAGCTGGAAAGTCATTAATGGTCCATAATAAAGTAGCATGCAACATAAAATTCTGTTTAGTGGATGCATCAAAGGTACAAACTCCAGTTTCCCATAAGTCCTTTAATTCATCAATCAAAGGTTGGAGATAAACATCAATTGCATCTCCAGGACTTCCAGGACTTGGAATAAGTATTGACAAAATAAAATCTTCCTACTTCATGCATAACCATGGCGGTAAGTTATAAGGAATAAGTACCATAGGCCAAATACTATATGGAGTTCTAGAACATCCAAATGGTTGAAAACCATCACTAGCAAGTCCAAGCCTAACATTACGAGGGTCCACAACAAATGATTGATGAAGTTCATCAAACTTTTTCCATGCTTTTGAATCAACCGGGGTCCTCATAATTCCATCATTAGCTTTGTTTTCATGATGTCATCTCATTAAATGAGATGTTTTGGAGGACATAAACAATCTTTGAAGTCTTGTCTTTAAAGGAAAATAGCGTAAGATCTTGTTTGGTATATTTTTCCCCTTTTTAAATTTGGTTTCCCCATTATGTTTATCCTCCTTCCATCTATATTCACCACAAATTTTGCAAGAATCAATAAACTTGTCATTCTTCCAATATAGCATGCAATCATTCCTACAAGCATCAATCCGATCATATGAAAGCCCTAAGCTTTTAATTAGCTTCTTTGCTTCGTAATATGAATCTGGCAAGTTTGATTCGTTAGGCAACATTCTTTCTTTAACATCTTCAACAACATATTAAATGAGTTATTACTCCAACGACCAATACTTTTAATATGAAGCAATTTCACCAAAGTTGGAAGTTTTGAACCTTCGTACAGGGGTTGATCAAAATCATTTAAAAGACTATAAAATCTTTTTGCTTCAGGATTTGGTTCCTCTTCGAGAACATCATCATCGCATGTATTCATATTATCTAAATTAAAAGCATGATGTAAATCTTTGAGAATGTCATGTATTTCATCCTCCTCATGATCCTCGCCAATTTTATCATCATCATCTACAAATGCGGAATCTGATTCTTCTGTCTCACATGTTGTCTCTCCATGGTGATACCAAAAGGTATAATTTTGAATTATTCCATGTACTATTAAATGTGATCTAACAATCTCTCGTGTTCGAGACACTGCATAATTACAACATTTGATACATGGACATCTTATTTCATTTGCTTCCCTCACTCTCGTAAAAGTATAATTCAGAAAGCTTTCTACCCCATGTATATAAGCATCATCAAGTCTATTATGAATAAGTTGCATCCATTTCTTATCAGGTGCCATAATATTACCTATAGACAATAGAATCTGGATCAAAAGTATTTCAGTACAAAAATAGGATGGCAGAAACAGAACAGGGGAATCCAATAATTAAACTTAGAATTGTATTGGCTACAATAATACTGGTGAGGTAACCCTTCGAAAGAGATTATTATAAAGGCTGATTTTGCAACATCAATTTATGCACTTTGGATAGAGATCATACGAGAATATTTTAGAACAAAGCATCTACCAAAGAGATACTACACCATCAGATGAAGTTCTCAATATGAAAAGAAGAGAAAAATATCCATCGACTATTGAGTTTCATTTCCTCCCTTTGAATATTCTGTATTAGCTGAACGTAAGTGTAGTGTTTATCATCAATGTTTTGAATTTGTTCAAAGTTTTGAATATATTTTCAGATAGAGTAGGCTACTGAGAAGGGACATAATTGTGTAGTTTGCCCTCATATTGTCAAGCTCACTGGAAATTAACAAATATTTCTTTAATTATCAAAAAAAAATAATGGTGAAGGAGTATAGCATATATAGCCAACAAGAAACAACTTTCCACTTATACACTCCACATATGTTTCATCTTTTAAGGTCTAACCCATCAATATAGAAGAAAAAGGGAAAACATAAATAGCCTCAAGGTTCTCTAAAGGAAGCTTTCCCATAAGGTATTTGGGGCTGCCACTAAAAGTGGAGTAAAATAGAATGTCACCAGCTTTGTTTGAAGATAACATAGAAAATCCATGCAGTGTCCACACGACATTTATCATATGCTGGTAGGTTGTTGATCATTAACTGTCTTATTTTCTTTGCATAATTTCTAGGGTGCTGTCTTTATTCTGCCCCAAGGTGTGTTGAATTAAGTTGATAGGAAGTGTAGGCACTGAGGAAAAAAGAAATGTCTCTCTTGTGGCATGGGACATAATATGTCGACCTAAAAAGAAAGGTGGTTTGAATGTTAAGGGTTGTAAGCTATGGAACATGGCAGCAGTGGGAAAGTTGATACGAAAATTAATGGAGAAGAAGGACATACTATGGGTAAAGTGGGTGAATGAGTTGTATATGAACAACAATGAGACTTTTTCGTCAAATGCCCCAAGTCCAAATAGTTGTTGGTACTAGAGACAACTACATAAGTTAAAGATAATAATGACACATTGGTATAGGGACGAACATTACTGTCTTATAGAGAATAAGAACTACTCAATTTCTAGGGGTTATTTGGACCTGCTGGGACATGCTCTTGAGTTACCAACTGTTGAATTAATATGGAACAAGATTACATTTCCAAAGCATAGGTTCATACTATGGTTTGCTATACGTAATTGACTGCTAACCAAGGCAAGAAGGTTGGAACTGGGAATAGGGTGTGATAACAATGTATGTTGTCTATGTGAGGGAGATTGGCATGAGGATGCAAGACATATATTTTCAGATTGCTTGTGGACACAAGGCGTATGGGAGGCAGTGAAGAATTGGACCGGACTAGATCTACCTAACAAACACGTGTCTGTGGCACTATTGAAGATCAAAATGAAACATTGGACCAAATTTAAAAAGGAGACAATGACAACTATAGATGGAGCTACTGTTTATAACATTTGGATTGTCGCAAAACATCATATCGTCACATCGAACAGGTAGTTAAGGAAGGTATATTTCAAATCACTCGAGCATTTTATAACTGAGAGGATATATCAGTAAAGTACCACGGAGGAACCTAACATGTTATTATATGGCTGAACCTAAACATGTGTTTATACGGTGTCTGACATTACAAAAAATCTATGAACAAAAGACAAGCTACTGTAGTGGGGAATGATAGTGGATAGCTAGTGTTTATTATGCCAATGAATGCCTAAAACTAATGACCATCTATCAATCACTGCTCTGTTTAGTTCACTCTAGATTAATTAGAACAGTGTCGCTTCATATAAACAATTAGTCATATACAATGATTGATAAGTACGACACAAAACAGATTGGTATGATAAAACAATCTGGTAGAATGAGAACAGAGAACATCTGCAAGCTTTATCATTGATTTGAAGGAATTGTTCTGGATGACTTCTGGGAAAATCTTAGCTGCTAAATAATGTTCGAATATAAGAATGAGACAACATATAAAACACCACTAACAAATTGAACTTATGAAATACAAAGAGCTGAAGTTTAAGGATTTAACAGAGAGAATGAGAAGAAACACTAACACTTCCTACTTCTCTGTGCAACCCACTAATTCTATATAGATTAGAACTTTGTCAACTTATTAAAACTAGCTCTCATATAAAATAACTAATAAGTACAACACACAAAAGATTGTATTTTGTAAAAAAGTATATCTGACGGGATGAGAACAGAGAACATCTCCATTAAACCTAATCATACCTAAAAATTTACGACCTTCATATTAGATCTATAAGACATATTTTTGATGACTTCTGGGAAATTCTTAGTAGATAATGGATTATTGACGTTGCCGCGAAACATCATATCATCACATCGATCAGGTAGTTCAGGAGGGTATATTTCTGATCACTCGAGCTTTTTATAACTGAGAGGATATATCGGTAAAGTACCATGGAGGAACCTAACATGTTATTATATGGCTGAACCTAAACATGTATTCATATGGTGTCTAACATTACATGAGAATCTATGAACCAAAGACAAGCTACTGTAGTGGGGATTGATCGTGAATCTCTAGTGTATATTTTCCCAATCAATCC